AACATACAAGTGGCCAACAGATACATGAAAAAATGCTCAGTCTCACTAGTCATCAAAGAAATGCAATTTAAAACCACACTGAGATACCACCTAACTCCAGTTAGAATTGCCATCATCACTAACTCAAAAAACAACAGTTGCTGGAGAGGATGTGGAGAAAAGGAAACGCTTTTACACTGTTGGTAGGATTGTAAACTAGTACAACCTCTGTGGAAAACAGTGGCAATTCCTAAAAGATCTAAAAATAGATCTTCCTTATGACCCAGCAATCCCCATCTGGGAATATACCCGGAGGAACTCAAATCACTATGAAAAGGATACCTGCACACACATGTTTATTGCAGCATTATTCATAATAGCAAAAAAACAAAGATCCATCCATGCTGCCCATTGAAAGTGGACTGGAACAAAAATGTGGTATATATACACAATGGAATATTACACAGCTACAAAGAAGGACAAAATTATGAATTTTGCAGTCACTTGGATGGACTTAAAGTCCATAATACAGCCGGGCTCGGTGGCTCAGCCTGTAATCCTGCACCTTTGGGAGGCTGAGGTAAGAGGATTGCCTGAGCCCGCGGGTTCGAGACCCGCCTGGGCAGTGAGACCTCATCTCTACAATAAATAAAAAAATCAGCTGGGCGTGGTAGTGCGTGCCTGTAATTCCGGTTACTTGGAAGGCTGAGGCGGAAGGATCGCCGGAGCCCAGCAGGTCGAGGCTGCGGTGGCCGGGAGCGGCCATTGCACTCCAGTCTGGGCGACGGAGTGAGACTCCAACTCAAAAAATAAAAAAAGTCCATAATATTCAGTGATGTGTCACAGAAACAAAGAACTGAGTACCGCATGTTCTCATTCATAAGCGGACCATGAGCAATTATCATAATACTATACGAAGAAGATTGTAATTAGTGGGAAACTGCCAGGAAAGGGGAGGCACACTTCATCAATAAGGGTACTTAATCTCAAACCAAGTGAAGTGGGGACCACAGTGAGGCCCACACTTTACCTGTACAATGGTCATCTGTATACCTAACCTTGAATTGTACCCCATATCTTGTATTGAGGGCCCCAGGCACTGAAATTACTATGCCTATAGTCAGCCTGGTTCTAGGGGAACAAGAAAATCTTCACTCATTTTGAGACTGCTGATGTGGGGGAAGCTGGGATTGGTCCTGCTTCAGCCGAACTGTCTCTCTGATCCCACCCCCAGACATTTGGCAAAAGTGCCTCCACTTTTCCAGTCATAATTATGATGGCTGCTTCTCTGTTCGTCTTCTAAATGTTATAACTTGAAGCACAGGAAAAACCAGTGACAGTTCTAGAAGACTAGAACTCTGGGTGCATGTTTTGATTCTGTGTAACTGTGTGACCTTGGACAAGTCCTGTCCCAGTGGGTCTATTCCAATATTTGTAAAATGAAATTGTTGGACTAGACAATAACTTTTAAGCTTCGCTTATTCCCCACTCCCTTCTAAAATATTGTTAGAAAAATTCTCAGAGTTATAGATGAAGTCATGTACAAAGGGAGGCAGTTATACTTAGACCAGGATCTGGAAATAAGTTATTTAATACAGTAGTATATAACTATTTAGCTCTGAATTTTCTGACAACTTAGAAATATAGAATTCCTATTGTCTGACCAAAGAAAAGATAGCACTGCTTTTGTAGTTTATTTTGCATTCATGCATGCACTTAAAGAAATGAAAACAGCACTGATGAAATTTAAATATTTTTTAAAATGTACTCACAATCTAACTGCCTCAGTAAATCTAAGTATTTCCTTTCTAGTCTCTACTGATGTAAAAATTATTCAAATGACCATTATCAAATAAAATATATTTGTTTCCTGCTTTTTTCACTCAAGAAAATATGACTTTTAATCTCATGCTGCTGCAACGTTTATGTAGTTTATATAGTCTACTTATGCAATGTATATAGTCTATTTATGCAGTTATTTTAAATGCCTGCACAATATCAGTTGGATATTCTTAGTCTTTTCTTGATCATTAGGAGTTTAGCTGGTTTCCAATTTTTCATTACTACCCAATATAAGCAATTAATACTGTATTCTTTTTCTTCTTTATGGTAGTATTTATTTTGTGAATTCCTCGGAGTGTGAAGATTAGTTTAAAATTTTTAGACTTTTTTTTCTTTTTAATCCTTGAAACTTTGCTTCCCTATGAAATTGTGCTGCTTTTGCTCTTTTGGGCACTAAATGCTAAGATAAATTTACTGGAGAAATCTTACAAAACTAATTCTTTTCAGTTCTAAAATACTCTCAATGAGTTTGTTACATGACTCAATTTATCCATGTCAAAGCAATGGAATATTTGATTTTGGATTTGTTACTGGTATTAATGTGCTTCTACTGTTTCATTGTATACAGTCTATGCAGGGATGGAAGGTCCCTTTTATTGAATTGGGAATAAGCAAATTGTCTGGGCAGAGAGGATGAAGAATGGCGTGATATGCTTAGATTTAAGCACATTCCTCTCATACTGGGGAAGTTGTTGAGGAAATCTACTCATTGTCCTTCCAAGATGTCCTCGGGATGAGCAGAGCTGGGATCACTCTGGCTTGGGATAGCCAGGCTCAAATTTTCCCACTATTTATGGCTGAGAATTTAAATGGAGCTAAGAATTTCCTTCTTTCCTGGATCTCAAACAGCTTGATCTCAGAGCGCTGAGCTTCCCCAAGTGTTTCCAGAGAAGACAGCCTGAGGGAAAGGAAGTGGTGCTAATTAAATCCTCCCTCTGTTTTCCAGGCACAGGAGTCTTTCGCAGATGTCTGTTGTTAGGCGTGTGTTCACAGAGTGCGCAAATACAGAAGCAGGCTTTCCTTCCCCAATGGCACAAACCTTCCTTCACAGGTTACAGGAACTTTAGAAATACGTTTCCTTCCAACACTCACTGTCATAGAGGTGGCAGACCTGCATAAATAGAGCATGTAGCTGCCAGGGAGGCCAAGTGCCTCACCAATCAATCTCTCTCTCTCTCTCTCTCTCTCTCTCTCTCTCTCTCTCTCTCTCTCTCTCTCTCTCTCTCTCTCCCCCCCTCTCTCTCACACACACACATAACTTGTTTTCTGCCAGAGCAATCTCTATCTTTTTGTATGGCTAAGTTATAAAAATTACCTGAAAACTCAGGGAATTACTTCCTGTTATAATAAAAAAAAACAAACAGCATGATATCATGATGAGGATGCTGGACTCTAAGCATGGTTGGGAGACCAGGTGCTTCTATTATTATCCAAGTGTGCCCTTGGATAGGTCTCATCTACTCTGTGATCCTCAGAAAGCTGGGGATGGAATAAATAACCCTCCCAGGGTTGCTGGGAAGATCAGATGAGAAAAAGTGTAAGGCAAACTGTATAAGGCTTCCCACTTGTGAGTCTCTCAATGGTGTTTTCTCCTGTGTTCAAATCTCCCAGGGTGACTATGTTTAGATTCAAATTTGCCTGAGACAGTCTAGTTTACTCTTATCATCCTAGCATAATTGCTAATAGCACCCTTTTCATGCCAAAGTAGCCAAATTTAAGTAATAAATGATGTGATCCTATTGTGTTTCCCTCTTGTATACTCTAGTTAATACTAATTTCAAGAGTTTTAACTTGCTGGGGATGGGGTTTTTCTCACCGTTTTATGTTTCACATGGTCCAAGGAAATGGAATTAAAATCACCTTTGTTTAAGAACATCGAGGCAACTCAGGATAGTATAGCATTCCCGGATATATGGTGAAACTGGGCATGAAGCCCTGCTTCATGGCACTGGTAACCTGCTTGTTGTAGAAATGTCTGACTGAACATGGAAGCCTGACTTCACTGGGCTAACATTTGCCTTCTATTTTGTTTTGTCTTAATTCATATTTACAAAATAAAAACCAATTTATCATTTTTATTTATTTTAAATCATATGTGATTTTTAGCATTGAGAAGCAGGAAAACAAAAGTTAAAACCACCTGTAACACTATCAGTAAGATAAGACGATTATTGTTATTCATAGCATTTTATTTTCTTCTTTTCAGACTTCTGAGGTTTTCTAACATCTGTTTACCATACATGTATATGCAAGTACATTTATTATATTTTCTTTTTTCTTTCTCTCTCTCTCTGCTTAATTATTTAAACAAATCTAAATAACATTATTTGTAATGCTATTATGTGACTTACTTTTTCCCATTAATAATATATTTTGGACATTTTTCCATGATGAAAATATCCATTCACGTTTTAAATGACAACATTGTATTTTGCTGCATGTTGTAGCATTTTACATTTTATTTACCACATTTCTTACTGATAGATGCTTAGTTTTAGTGTAAATTTTTAAGTATTAAATACAATATTGAGTGTATCTAATGTTGCTATCTATGATAGAGAATGTTTTTCCATTAGTCAGAAAGATGAATATTTTTCTATTAAATGCAATGTTGTGATGAATGATCATATATGCATATTGTGTATATATATATATTTGGGTATTTGTCTAAATTATTCCACTAGAATAAAATTTTAGAATTGGAATTTTCAGTTTAAAAATATGCTGATTTCCAAGTGCTCTTGTGCCCTGTTATTACACAAGAAGTACACAAGAAGGCATATTGTCATTGCTTTTAACTCTTAAATAACCCTGCAGTCTGGTGGATTTTCAAGCAATAATGCTATAAAATCTTGAAGAGAAATGTCTGACAGTTATTTTATACTTCTCCCTTATTCAGCTTCCAGTCTTCTGGGACTTAAGCTGAGAAAATGAAATTATCTGCAACTCTTTTTCTTTATCCAGAGTGTCTCTGATTTTCTCCTGTGGTAAATGACCCTGCAGGATGATGGGTGGTATTTAGGAGTTTGTGTTATTGACTTGTATCCATCAGTGCCTCTGTTTAGTTAACATGAAGGGTGTTTGTTTCAGGAGGTAATTTGCTCATCACAGCCGATTTTGCCATATCCAGGACAATGGTAACTTTTTTTAATGAAAATATTTTTCTTCCTTTGTTTTAGACTGAAGAAATGTCAACAATTGGGAGTTTTGAAGGATTCCAGCCTGTGTCTCTGAAGCAAGAGGGAGAAGACCAGCCCTTAGAGACTGATCACTTATCCACAGAACCGGGGGACCCAGGCAAGGACCCAGTGCCCAAGAAGATTTCAAGGCAGTCAAGTGTGACTGAATCAACACTTTACCCTAATCCTTATCACCAGCCTTACATCTCCCGGAAGTACTTCGTTACTCGGGTAAAATCATTGATGTTCTTTATTCTACATAAAAATTCTCCTTAAAAAAAAAAATCTTAAAATTCTTCTATATACTACATGTTTACCAGGTGGATTCACATTTATCTCATAATATAGTCATAGTAATCATGAAGTCAGTATCCTCCTTTAAAGATGAAGGATCTGAACTTCAGAGACATTAGCAGTTTATTTTTTATTGCACAGAGAGTGTCAAGGAAAAGCAAGTCCTCTAGCCTCCCTGTATCTTTGGTTTCTGTCTTTGTGTTCATGTCAAACCTGACCTTAAATAACTAATGTTCTGAGAAGGAACTGTTGCAGCTAGAATATAAAGCTATGGACTCAGTGAGGATATTAATTTTTTATTTGCAAAATACATAGATTATGGAGTGGAAAGGGCTGCTGAGAACAGGCTGAATCTCAAGGGTTTACGTTGGGATGTTCAGATTGCAACATGGGAGCAGACACTTTTAAATCTCAAATCTATAGTTGCAGTCTGGAGCTGAATTCTCTTACCTGTGCAATGAAGCTGGGAAAGCAAATGCATGTGTGGGTGAAGATGGTGGGCCTTGTTCATCTAGATTTAAAAAAATATTTTAAACTTCTAGCATTTGGATCACGTGGATTACTTCCTGGATTTCTGATATCTTTCTTAAGCTCTCCTTTCTTTCAATCCTTCAGCATTCTTATTGACACCATAGTGGATAGCACGTAGGCTACAATCAATTGGGGGCAAAAGTAGGGAGTGTACACTGTGACAACATAGGTCATTTCATTTTCTTGTGTATGTGGGACATCTCTTTGTTGAAAAAAAAATCTTTAAACTCAATCTCATAAATAAATGTGGGCCATGAGTTTGTAACTTTTCCAAAGCTTTAACTAATGAATCCTGATTTGGTAGCTTTCAAAATACATTTTTAGTAAAGGTAAAGTTTTAACTAAAACAACTCGATGTGTGCGTGTGTGTGTGTACATGCTTGTGTGTGTGTGTGTGTGTGTGTGTGTGTACCTGTGTGTTTGTGTGGGTCTGTGTTTATATATTACATATACTTTTATGTGCAAGATGCTTTGGTACATGCTGCACTATGTGTGTGTTTGTGTGAGTGTTTCTGCTTACGTAGAGCATATGGTTTGTCTTCCATAGTGTGTGAACTTTATTAAATATGCAAAGTTCAGTTATAAGCTATAGCTGAAAAGAAAATCAATGCATCTCTTAGAGTTAATTATCTTTGAAATTGATGATACCAGAGTTTGATGAGAGAAGGACACACTGTGGGATATATAATAAGGTATTTATCATTGGGAATGTTTGAAGTTATGAGAACTGAGGAGTCTACACAGTTGTTGCCTTTGTGTCTGGTAATACACAATATAAGTCAGCCAGTTGGGAGTTGTGAAGTGGGAATAAGGAATAATGACTAGGGAAAAACTGCATGGACAAACTGAAATTATTGATGACAATGTGTAACTCATGAGGTAATACTGGAAACTGTGTCTGCCTCCCACCAACTCTACCCTTGATCATGGGAGTCTCCTTTGGAAGCTGATGCCTTTCACGAATGAGTTGCACTCTTAGCCAGCCCAAAGTAGGAAAGTTTTAGAAAGAAAGTCAGACTATAATGAAGGAGATGCAGACCTAAGTGTAACCCTTTGTCATCAAGTAAACCAGGATATCAGTTGCCACAACCATGAGTTACCACATTGCATGATTACCTGCCTTGATCTTCAAAACAGAAAATGACTGATGTATCACTTCTGCTTTTCAAAGCTTATCCAAATGTCTCTTGTCACCAGCAATATTCTGGAAACATACCAAAAAAAAAAGCAATTCTAGAAAATGTAGCTTGTGCTTAGCTAAACGGACACTGCCTAAAGCCATTGCACATCATACTTTTATTTATGTTGGCTCTTGTGGCTTATACTGAAAATTAGCATTCATTTTCTGTTTGGTCCATTGGAGCAATACAGTATGGTAGGTGAGGCATTAGGGGTTACCATCCTTGTTTTAAGGGTGAACATATTAAAGTTGGAGGGGAATGAAGTGATCTCTCCAAGTCACATAATATTAGTAGAAGAGCTGCAGCTAGATTCTGGATCTTCTTTCTGCAAATCCAATGTTTTTTTCTACCATGCACAATTGAATTGATGGCTCTTTTATCAAAGTTTTCAATAACTGATTTCAATCAGTGTGTAGAGTATCTTTTTCATTAGATGTATAGAAAACAAAGTTTCCAATAACTGATTCCAATCAATGTGTAGAATATCTTTTTCATTAGATGTATAGAAAAAAAAACCATCTTCTAATTTTATTAGTGCATCCAAAGTACACCTGAGGATTGTCTAGAAACCTGGAGAGTGAAATTCCCAAGGCACTCAGCACTTGCTGTCTTACAGAAAAAAAGATGTAATACCAAGAGTTCTTATTGCCATATGAGTATAATAAATGTGTTAACATGTGAGGATAATGAAAGTATAACTGTTGGCTCAACTGAAATTTATAATGATACATAAATAAAGAAATTATCCAGTTTTACTAGTTTACAAACCAGAAATCTATTGATGTGGTAGTAGTTGAAAAAAATAAGGGAAAGTGTATGTATGTGTATGTCTATGTATATATCGTATGTATACACGTGTGTATATATATCAATTTTCTCATCTGCAAAGTGTGAATAAAACATGCCAATTTTTTGAGTTGGGATCTCACTCTATTGCTCAGCCTGGAGTACAATGGCATAATCACAGCTCACTGCAGCTTCAAACTCCTGGGCTCAGGAGATTCTCTCACCTCAGCCTCTTGTGTTGCTTGGACTATGAATGCATGCCACTCACACCCAGCTAATTTTTTTTTATATATATCTGTATATATATATATATATATATATATATTTGTTTTTTGTAAAGGTGGGGTCTTGCTATGTTGCTCAGGCTGATATTGATCTCCTGGGCTCAAGAAATCCTCCCACCTTGGCCTCCCAAAGTATGTGGATTACAGATGTAAGACATTGTGCCTGGCCAAAACATACCAGTTTTATAGAGATGCTAACTTTTTAGAAGTTCCTAGTAGAATGTATAACACAACCATAAACAGTATAAATGTGACCTCATTGTTATTATAAATATACTCTCTTTTCTTGATCTTACATTTCACATTTCTATAATTGGTCATGGGGAAAGACATTAAGATGCCCATGACCTCACCATGACCTCCACAGTAAGATATAGATGTAGATGCAGTAAAGAGGAAGCTAATTCATTTTCTTAAGATAATTCAATAAGACCAAGACTCTTAAAGATTTAAGTCTATGAAAAAGTCATTATCAAGTATCACTTCTTAGAGCTAAAATGAGACCTATAGATGATATAGTCCAGAACTTCTCAATCTTTACTGTACAAAGAATTGGATTCTGTGTTTCTACAAACTCTCTGGTGATACTGATACTCTCTCTCTATGGACCACCCTTTAACATCAATGAGTTAATCAACACACTCATTTTCAGAAGGAAATAAGGCCTAGAGAAAGCTCATGATAGTGAGCATTGACTTGCCCAAGAGACTAGTAAGTGGCAAAGTGAGGGCTAGAACTAAAGTTTTCCAATTCCCAATTTATAATGTAATACAATAAAAAAGAAATCAATTTACTACAAAGTCAGAATTTAAAGCTTTTATGTTATAAATTCAGAAAAGCGGTGAGAAATTAAGTGGAAGAATTCCTTGGTCAAGCACCTTAAAATACTAAAAGGTTTTAAAATCATTGCACAGGAAGTGGTTTATTGAAGAAAAATTAGAAAATTTGTATAAACAAAAAAAAATGAAAGTCACCATATCCACTGCTCAAAGTTAGTCAAAATGTATTAAATGTGTGCTTATATATTTAGATGCATATTCTTTTCAACCTTTTTGTTATATGTGCAGTTTGTTGTGGAAAAATGGGGTTCTATACCAAATATTTCCTATGTCAATAATATGCTTTCATAATTTTTAACCGTTCTATTATATCCACCTATAGGGATATACTACAATTTATTTAACTTTCATCAGATATTTAGGTTGTTTCCTTTTTATATATTTTAAACTAGAGTAAAAAATCATTCATTGACTCCCTGTGGCAGGATAGCACTCAGTTTCTCAGATGCCAGGAGTAAACACCCAATGCTATAATAAGAAGGGTCAGTGATATGAGTTTCAAGCTGGATTTGTGCAGAGATGACTAATATGGAAATATGAATTAATTCTTGATTAATTAGCTAATTAAGTCACTTTTAGCATCATAACCTCATACATTAGACATACCTATGAATACCAGATCATACAAAAGTATATTTGCCCCTCAAACCTCTTGTGTTCCTCATGGGTCAGTCTGGGATGCCACATTTACATTTTTAGACCACCAGCCTATGATTTATTTTTGAAACTGTGCCCCTCTCACTTAGCTTCAGAGCACTCTGCTCAGATCTAGAAGGTTCTTGGGGAATATCTAATCAAAACCATGATGCATACAAAGGAGGTGTGACTTAGTGCCATGGTCAACCAGTAACCTCTGGGCCATGTAAGAACTTGAAGGCAGGTCTGGAACCCAAGACTCCTGATGTTTTCTACCAAAAATCACTGCCTCTAGCCTTGAAAAATGAATGAAAGGTCACAGAAATGAAGGTCCAAACTATTCACCACCCATCTGTTTGGATAACCTTTTCCTCCTGATTTAGTTCATCTGCTATTGTTGCTTACACGTATCTAAAAAAGGTCTAGTGACTTCTCTGAACAAAAGTACCCCTTAAGGCTAATAACAAGAGGTATATTACGATAACCTTCTTAGTTGTGGAGACTGGTATTCAAAAACAACTTCTTATGAGAGGAACAATACTTAATTCACATGGGGAAAGATATTTTTAAACTCCCACCAGGACTCTATATTTGCAGATACCTTATCCAGAAAGTTGAAAGCAATTCGGGATGGGGAATTATCTCTAAATTTATACTTGAAAATGTAAATTACATACAAA